TCACGGAAGATCCCGATTTTTGCCAGCATGTGAAAGTTTGAGAGTTTCACGATCGTCAATATTCAGAGCCCATAATTTTCTTATAGACAGTGAATGTATCGAGAATGCACTTTGCAAACTATCTGATCACAAAAAAGAGTTTGCACTGGTCGCGGCAAGCCGGTTGGTCATAATCAAGCCCAGAATTACTGGATCTTGTGTGCCTTTTCAGTGCCACGACAGATCGACTAATTACTGTGCCGCCCCCTTAAACAGTCGCTCTGAGCAATCTAAAATTCAAATGCGTTTTTTCACCGGCAGGTTCATGTAACAACAAAACCGCCTACAAAGAGAAAATCTGAACGAGGTAGTTCGGATTCGGAATCGATTAAAATCACTATACGGACTGGGCGGGGCCTATCAAACGACATAAGCACACAAGTTAATTGACCGTGTTTATGTGATAGTTGGATCGCGTACCCAATCAAGCTTCATATATCTGGTCCAAAACCAGCTACTCCAGATCGAATGGTTTCGATGCGGACGTTGTCCAATAAGGCCCTAAATCACCGCCCGGTCAACGTACAATTAAATTTCAATTATGAACCTACACGGACTAGTACCGAAAATATGCGTATTAATCACCCGTTATGGGTGCCAGCTCTTAAATCAATTGATATTCAGCCAAAGTTTACGCTGCTGTCCACCCTTTGCAGTGGCGTGCCACGCCAATAAAACCGCCAGCACCTTAAGACTATTTCGGGTTACAAGGCAAGTCAATGTATTCAAGTGCTTCCAGGAAGCGCCCATTTAATATACTATGAATGAATTTATAATGATCATAACGTTGTAGTAAGAGGGCATTTAAATGCAAAATAATGCATTCAAAGCGAGGGCGTAGCCCCTCATCTGCATTCATTATTTAATCAGGCCCAGCACAAGACGACTGCAGCCATATCAACTACAATGTAAGACTTGCAGTTAACTTCCGCCGTCGATTTTCATTGGCCAATATTTAGGGGCCTTTTGAGTTGTGTTTTTCATTTCCACACAGTTTTGAGACACAAGCGTCCTCTATAGGTCGGGCAAGTTTCAAATGACCACCTTGACTGGACTTCAGTTTTCCATTTCTAGACCTGCGCTCAAAAATCAGTTTTTCGCGCGATCTGAATGAAACTTTCGCAGTTTCGAGAGCCAAGTGTGTTCTATACAGTGTGCAAGTCTGAACTCGCCAATGTGTTCGGAATCGGGATTAGAAATTTTTAAATAAGAGCGGGATGTTGAGTGGTTCTTCCTTCTAGACCTGCGATTATGAAACCGGCAGACGTTAATGTTTTTGCGATTCGAATGAAAATTTTACACTGTCGAGAGTCTGATGTCTTCTACAGAGTGGGCAAATTTCAAGTTTGCATCTTGTTTGCAATCTGAGTTATGAATTTTTAAATAACAGCGGGCAGTTGAGTTAAAGTTTCCATTTCTAGACCTGCGTTTGCAGAGAGCACAAAATTCAATTTGTCGCGCGATCGGAATGAAATTTTCACAGTTTCGAGAGCCAAGTGTGCTCTATAGAGTGTGCAAGTCTCAACTCGCCAATTTGGTCGGAATCGGGATTAGTAATTTTTAAATAAGAGCGGGATGTTGAGTGGTTCTTCCATTTCTAGACCTGCGATAATGAAACCTGAAACCGGCAGACGTTAATTTTTTTGCGATTCGAATGGAAATTTTACACTGTCGAGAATCAGATGTCTTCTATAGAATGGGCAAATTTAAATTGTGCACCTCTTCTGAAGTCTGAGTTATGAATTTTTAAACAAGAGCGGGCAGTTGAGTTAAAGTTTCCATTTCTAGACCTGCGTTTGCAGAGAGCACAAAAATCAATTTGTCGCGCGATCGAAATGAAACTTTCACAGTTTCGAGAGCCAACTGTGTTCTATAGGGTGCGCAAGTCTGAACTCGCCACTTTGCTCGGAATTGTGATTAGGAATTTTTAATAAGAGCGGGATGTTGAGTGATTCTTCCATTTCTAGACTTGCGGTTATGAAGCTGGCAGACGTTATTTTTTTTGCGATTCGAATGAAAGTTTTACACTGTAGAGAGTCTGATGTCTTCTATAGAATGGGCAAATTTAAATTGTGCACCTCTTCTGAAGTCTGAGTTATGAATTTTTAAACAAGAGCGGGCAGTTGAGTTAAAGTTTCCATTTCTAGACCTGCGTTTGCAGAGAGCACAAAAATCAATTTGTCGCGCGATCGGAATGAAACTTTCGCAGTTTCGAGAGCCAAGTGTGTTCTATACAGTGTGTAAGTCTAAACTCGCCACTTTGTTCGCAATCGGGATTAGGAATTTTTAATAAGAGCGGGATGTTGAGTGATTCTTCCATTTCTAGACTTGCATTATGAAGCTGGCAGGCGTTATTTTTTTTCCGATTCGAATGAAAGTTTTACACTGTCGAGAGTATGATGTCTTCTATAGAGTGGGCAAATTTCAAGTTTGCACCTTGTCTACAATCTGAGTTATAAATTTTTAAATAACAGCGGGCAGTTGAGTTAAAGTTTCCATTTCTAGACCTGCATCTGCAGAGAGCACAAAAATCAATTTGTAGCGCGATCGGAATGAAATTTTCACAGTTTTGAGAGCCAAGTGTGTTCTATAGAGTGCACAAGTCTGAACTGGCCAATTTGTTCGGAATCGGGATAAGAAATTTTTAAATGAGACGCAAATTGGCATAATTAGGAAGCTCCGTAGGTCGAAAGCAGTAAAAAAACTCGCTTGGGAAATTTTTAGTTTTCTGCGGAAAATTTCATAGGGCTGGAGGTCGACGTTTCAGTCCAATAATGACGTCACTGCGCCTAGGCGTTAACGAGGTGTTTTGTGGCAAATTTGGCGGCCAATGAGCTCAGTCGAAATGTTTTTGCAGTGAAATGTGAACCCCACTGATGAAGTAAAGCGATCCCATTTCGTTTCGATATGGAAAAGAAAAAATAAAAGCGACTAAACAAGTCGCTGACATTATCGTCGATAAGAATCGCGGGCCCAGAGATGCGCATTTTGGCTTGGAAAATAAATTGTGAATCGCATAACTGCACATTACTGATAAGATCGGGGTGAAACGCGAGGTCAGCGGTCATTATATTTCGAATTTTATTAATATAAAGGCCGACATTTAATTACACGGTGATTGCTTGGATTTAAGACCCCAACCGCATTTATCTTGCGGATAATCGCAAAGATGGCGAAATGTCGGGAGGACCCGGATGTGCGGTTGGGCGTGGCCGGCATGTTTATGGGCCACCAAACTATGAGCGATCGTGGCTGGTCGAATTTTCGCGAAAAGTTGGCCGGTTTGTGGGGAATTTGAGCAAAAATGCCATATGGGGCTAAGGGGCGAGCCCACATTGGCAAACCGTGATGCATGTAGCGTGGCTGTATTGTTGTTCAAACTGCGCGCAACCTTATCAATCAAGCTTTTTATCCTGTCAGATTGATTTCATTAATTTGCTGGAATAGATCGAGAATTATGAGATTTCACCCCGCGGGCCCCAATCTAAGTGAAAAATAAGTAGACAACTAAAAGCCGATCAAGGCGTTTTGTTTATAAACGATAAATCGTGTGCTTAACGTTTCTTAAAAATGTCAATGCGGTTTACATAATCTAATCGGGGGGCCCGTGCATGGGGAATAGCACTTGATGGGTGGTCCGCGTTTCTAGATCTCTGATAAAGCCAATCTGAATTCATATATAGGAATTAAATTAATTATCCTATGGGGCCAATTTGATTATGATGGTGTAATCCATGACCGTTCGGTCATGGCTTTGATTTATGGACCGGCTCTCAGCTCTCCTAAACACCATTCTTCAATTGGGCGAAAACAAAAGCTGATTTACAAGCAGCCGACGCCATTTGTTATCGGCGAAAACCGATTCTTTTCCGGAAGTGTGCCGAAAATGCGACCCACTTTTGTCCCGACCATCTGCAAAGAGGAGACCCGGAGGTCAGCAGGTCACGCTGTAAATCTCCCTTTTGCAGCGGCTTGCGCTAATTGATTTCGGTACCATCGGCCACACGATTTATGCACTGGAATCGAACCCAATTTCGATTCAAAACTGACCAAGTGGCGGATGCCCGGAATTCTGAGCGTACGATGCCGGAATGTTTCGCCGCAATCGCCCGGAACCATCGAAGCGAAACAAAGAGTGCAGAATTCGCGAATTGTTCGGAGCCGTCACCAAAATTGCCGAAGAGGTCAACAGTCATGGGCAGCCATGGGATACCGATGACCCTTCGCACATTCCAAGGTGGTTAAATGCCGGACATTCTCCATTGGTTGGCTTCGCGAAACATTCAGGCCCATTGAAGCTGCTTAATGCGAAAAATGTCCCATTTACTGCTAGGGGATACTTGATGAGTTTTCATCAACCACCGTTAGCACACACTTTAAACCTAAAACTGGAATCGTTTTGCGCAGTTTGGCAACGCCACTCGTAATTTAGACTGAAAATTGTGATTTTCCTCAAACTCTGTGAGGATTTTTTTGCCAAAACTGCTTAATTAAATTGTTCTTTAAGATAAAACCGGAAAAACTGAAAAAATCGGTGGGTCTCGAACTAATTTACCCAAAATTCTAATTTTTTGCCGCACATGCGTTATTTTTTATGGCAGATTCGTTGTTTAGCCTCCACTGACGAACAAAATGGCGGCTATGACGTATTAAGTAAATGAGCGTGTTGCAAAATTGGTACCTGACGGTTCAGTTGTCAAACTGGCAATCTTGCATCGAACTGATTAAAAAACATGCTAGAAGTTTCAGATGTAATGCACTCTTACCTTGGTCACCCTGTAGAATGTTCTTGTTTTCCAATATACCGGGTCTCAATTTAAAAACTTTCCACTCTTAATATCCTGCCAACGATTTAAGTCGCAAAAATCGTCAACATTTCCTTTACAATTGCTAATTTTCCAGTTTAAAGTCCCATTTTCGGGTCCTTCAATCCGTCGAGAGACAATTGCAACAAATAGGACACTTTTTCATAAGCGATCGTGTAAAAGCCGGTTTATTCAAAACTTAATTGCAACAAATGTTGCTTTACTGGCAACTGATTTCAAAGTTGATGTGTTTGTATTTACTCGTTGCCATGGTACATGTCTTGTACTCAAAGAGTCGACAAGCGATTGGTCGATCAGGTTTATGTGTATCCGGAAGCACGTCACCAGAGACAGTTTTCTAGGCAACGAAGGTTGTTGATTTCTTCGAAAGTGGAGAAGTACTGATTTTGTGCGGAAAATATTTGCAGTGCAGACTCGAGGTCGCGTTCGTGAGCTGAAAATTATGTAAAATTTGAGACATTTTGAGAAAATTTTCAATTTAAAAAAAAATCGACCCCCACCCTTGGAAAAATTTCG